TATGTCCGGTGTGGTGGTCAGAGCCTGGAAATACAGCGGTGAACTGGACCCAGGTCCCTCCTGGCCAGGAGCTCCCAGTCCAGGGGGGGAAACAGAGGCAGTTACCAGGGGTGTGACCTCAGTGCCGGGCGAGGGAGAAGTACCAGGAGTTTGATGCCAGGCTCCCTGGAGTTCACCTGAACCTGCCCTGGGGCATCAGGGAGGGCTTCCCGGAGGAGGAGGTGGCAGCTTGGAGCTGAAAATCGAAGGGATGGCTAGAGATCAGCCAGGTTATTGGAAATGGCAGTGTGGAGGCTTGACAGGGAGGAAAGCACAGCGTGTCCTGTGACCTGTCTGGGGTTCATTGTGGTGAAGTAAGAATGTGTGTGCATGTGAGAGACAGACAGACGGATAGACAGACGGATGGGTGGGAGGTGTCGATCATTAGACTGAAGCTGGTGAGATGACGAGGAGCCAGATCCTGCCGGGCCGCAGGGAAGGAGTTTGATCTTTGTCCAGAGCTCGGTGGGGAGACCGGGTGGGCTTGGCGCAGGGGAGTGAGGTGGTGGTGCTCACCTCTCAGACCCATTCTGGCTGCTGCTGGGAGGGTAGATGGGAGGCATGTCAGCGGGGAAGGCGGACTTTATAAATGTCTCTTCTCCGTGAAGTTTTCCCTGGCCACTCTCTCCTTCGTTGTCATTTATCTACCATTCTGTGCATCTTGCTTATTATGTTCATTCTCTGTTCCCCTCTTCTTTTAGACAAATTTTGTTTAATTATTGATGAAAGATAGATAGATAGATAGAGAGAGAGAGAGAGAGAGAGAGAGAGAGAGAGAGAGAGGATTTGTTGTTCTACTTAGCTGTGCATTCATTGGTTGCTTCTTTTTTAAAAAAAATATATTTTATTGATTCTTTACAGAGAGGAAGAGAGAGGGACAGAGAGTTAGAAACATCGATGAGAGAATCAGCCATCAGCTGCCTCTTGCACACCCCCTACTGGGGATGTGCCTGCAACCAAGGTAAGGTACATGCCCTTGACTGGAATCGAACCTGGGACCTTTCAGTCCGCAGGCTGACGCTCTATCCACGGAGCCAAACCGCTGGTTACTTCTTAATATGTGCCCTGATTGGGGAATCAAACCTGCACCCTTGGTGTGTGGTTGGCCAGGGCCTGCTCCCCCTTTCTTGACTATCAGCTCCCCAGGGACAAGGCTTTCTGGATATGTGTCCCCAGAACTCAGTCCGCAGTGGGTGCTCAGTGGGTGAACGCCATGGGGAAGGAGAAGAGGATGCCTGCGTCCCAGTGGCGTGAGGCATGGGGCTGCTTCCCTCTGGGGCCTGTGGATGGAGGAACCACACGCATTTTCTGCATCCTGGCTCTTCTGGGAGGCCCCGGGCATGCACGCGGCCCTTTGCACGGCGCCCCACACAGACGCAGACTTGGGGAGGCCAGGCCACATTCCGGAAGACGCCGCAGGGTGTCAGGACTGGCTCGCACCCCTCACCAGATGGTGGCATTCCCAGAGCACGGCACCCAGAGATGGCTGAGTGAATGGCTGGTGAGCTCCCAGATCGGGTCTGAGGGTATAATTATGAAGAACTGGCAACAGCTGTTAGAATGAATCAACGCCTCCGAATCCGAGCGGAAAAGCTGCCAAACGGTTGGCGTTTGAATGGAAGCGCTTCTCTGGCCGCCTCCCGGCGCCGTTCTCTCGGATTTCCCCGGAGACTTTGGGCTCCGTGGCTGCACCCCCAGCCCCGAGCCCAGGGCCCGCTTTGTGGCAGGAAGGTCAGAAGGATGGACGAATGAATAAATGAATGCTCTTGAGAGACACCTGCCTAATTTCAGCCGCTATTGGACTTGGTGACTCAATTCCCAGAAGGGAAAAAAAAAAAAAAAATGGTTTTCACCGCGTGAAATCATAGGAAATGGAATTTTAAATTTTGCAAATCAGTTCAGTGAAACCAAAGCCTGTGGACTTGGCAGGTTTAGCAAACGCAAAGACATATGCATCCATCACCACCCCCTGCTCCAGATCTGCCTGAGGCCTGACTGACACCCTCCGTCTCCTGGTCTAGTGTCGCTTCCTGACCTCCCAGGTCAGCCTTGCTCCCGGTCTGTCCTCCAGGGCCACGATGATTAAAAAAGAGATGGCTCGCCCTGGCCTGTGTGGCTCAGTGGATTGGGTGTCGTTCTGTGCACCGACAGACTGCAGGCTCGATCCCTTGGTAGGTAGGGGGTGTGCTGCAGGAGGCAGCCAGTGGATGTGTCCCTCTCACATCGATGTTTTTCTCTCTCCCCAACCCTCAGTAATTAGGTAATTGGTGGTATGATATGCCAGGCCACTGGGCTGATTACTGGGGACTCAGGGCGCCCTCTGGGGGCTTACCCGGGAACTAATGCACTATTAAGTGTAACTGTGTAGCTGTGATGAAGCCTGCCGATTATCTGTGGGGCTCCGTGGACCTGTAAGAGGGAGATTGTACCAGGCTGGAGAGGGACAGGGATGCCTGAGCTGTGATCTTAGGGGTGGACCTGTGTCTGCGCAAGAGGGGTCTTTTTAGAGAGCAGGCACAGCATGTGCAAAGGCCCTGAGGCAGCATTTGAGAACCACCGAGAGATGCAACGTGCAAACCCTCCTGGAGCAGGAGAAAGGGGAGAGGCAGCTCCCAAGTCAGCCAGCACCTGAGTGTTTGGGAGTCGTCTCCCCTAAGCCAGGAAGCCTTCCAGAACCGCCACCGCCAGTTCTAGGCGGTTCCTCCTCCTCGCCCTGTGCTCCCAGGTATCCCTTTATGGACCGTGACGGATGCTTATGGCCCATTGCTTGTGTGTGTTTCCCCACCCGAGACTGTGAGTTCCCTGAAAGCAGGGGACATTTCCTATTAGCCTCCGTGCACACAGTAGGTGCTCAATAAACACATATCCGAGGAACGGGGGGGGGGGGGCGGTTTTTACTGAGCACCTACTGTGGACTCGGCCCTTGTGTGTGCGCATGTATATGTAAGGCTGAGATATCGAAAAGCCGGGAGGAGCGTGAGTCTGACAGGCTGGGGGAGATGCCAGCGGACGCAGTTGGCGCTCCAGAGCTTCTGTTCCGTCTGTGCCCAGATCGCTGGAACCGGGGCTGCCATCCCTGTCTCCCCAGTCCTGCGGAGACTCAGTCTTTCCTCTTCTCCTCCTGAACGCCCCCCCCCCCCCCCCGCCTCCACCCCCGACTCCTGCCATGGGAGGGCGGGGACAGCCCTGCTGGCGATGAGATGTGACACCACTGGCTTTCTCTGGCAGCCACACATCCCCTGCCAGGGCCTGCCGGCTCCGGTAAGTGGGGGCTGGAGTGTCCAGGGGGTGGAGGGTGCCTGCGAGGGTGCCTGGGAATTTTCTCTCTGTCCTCCTCGGAGTCCTGTTAGTCGTCTCGTGTTCAGGCTGTGTCCGTGACCCTGAGCAGGGCTGCCAGAGGTCACGGGGGCTGGCTCCGAAGGTGGGTGTCACTGCAGGTAGCATTCTCCCTCTGCCAGATTCCCTCCTTCTCCATCTCTGCCCCTCTCCTTCTGCTTCTGACGTGTCTAGACAGCTTTCTCTGGTTCGGGGAGAAGGAATCTGTTAGCACCATCGCGCGTGCAAGGAAGAGAAAATATCAAAATCTGTCCGCCTTTCTCTCCTGCGGGTGCTGAGCGTGTGCGTCAGAGCCGGGCAGCCGTGCGGGGCCTCGGGCGGGGAGCGGGAGGCTGGCATCGAACGGAAACACCCTCCCGTGTTGGTCCATCCAGGTGGGGGCAGGCTGGGGGCAGCTTTTTAGGGGAATGGGCACACTGGTGTGACTGACGGTGGGGACAGGGTGGGAGGGGTGGGAATCAAGAACGGTGACTCCTCTGGCGCTTTTTAAGACCAGAAAGGAACACAGCATCATTTTTTAAAAAGGCAGCGTTGAATGGATCGAGGGTCCGAGGCCATTGGGTTCTAGCTGTGTGATGTAGGCCGGTCAGGCGACCTCTCTGGGCCCTTGGCCTTTATCTCTGTCGTGGAGATAGCGACCCTGCCCGGCCCTTGGGGCTGTCGGGGGATTAAGGAGAGCAGAGGACTCAGGCTTGGGGAGAGCAGGTCATACATAGCTGGGTGGACAAGGGGCTCTGTCCGAGCCACAAAGGAGGCTGGGTCATCACCGCACCCACCTCGCAGGGTGGCGAGGAGGGTAAGATTTCTCGGTCGTGGCATGTCTGCCCTCACCATCAGCTGTTGCTCTCGCTGAGACTTTGAAGACAGCCAGTGAGAAGTAGGCATCCGGTAGAAAGGAACCCAAAGGCAAATGACCGCCGTCGGTGAGTGGCAAGTCAAGGTGGCTTTTCGGACGGAAGGCATCTGGAAGGGAGGGGGGGGGAGAAAAAGGCCAGGCCGGCCGGTGAGGCTGGGGGCTGCGGCTTGGGTTCTGTGGGCCATTCACCCGCTCTGTGACCTCAGGGGCTCTGGCTTTGGGCAACTGTGTGAGCCGGGGCTGGTCGCTCACCCTCTCTGAGCGTGGCCCCCCGCACAGGCTCCTGAGGGGTTCCGCCGATTGCCTGAGGCCAGCGGGCAGGCTCTGGAGTGGGAAAACGGTGACAGGAGACCGGGAACTCGGGGCCGATGCGGGAACTTGCAGAGTGCGTGTCGCATCCCGGCCCCGCTTCTGGCTTCCTGAGCGACTTCAGGCCGGACGCTGGGCCTCTCCGAGCCCATTTCCTAATCTGCACGGCAGAGATAAGTCCTGGTCACCTCGACTTGAGCTGAGTCAGGAGGGAGAGTCCTGGAGAATGTTGGCGGCGCCTTCCCCCTGCCCTTTGATCTGGAAGGAGCTTCAGAAACCGCCAGAGTTCCGAGGGATGGAGGGGAGGGACTGGGCCGGCGAAGTCAGCGGCAAGTTGTTGTCCAGAACTCGGGCTCCGGCTGAATTTTAACCCCCCCCCCCAATTTTTTATTTTATTTTTTGCAGCAGTGGCTTCTCCATTTCGGATGTTTGGAAGCCCCATGGATCCCCAACCGTAACCATGGTGACGCGGGTGGAGGTGGGCTCCATCACGACCCTGCCTGGAGTGCCAAGCCTCGGTGACATCGCCAAGGAGACCCTGACGCGGACCTGCTTCCGCCAGGCGGGCGACACGTCCGCGGCCCCCTCGGCGAGCCCCCTCCGGAGCCACACACGCTTGTTCCCCTTTGGGACCGCACTCGCCGCCCCCAAGCCCTTCTCCAGGGAGAAGGCCCCGGCCGGGAAGTCCCCGGGGCCCGGCCCCGCCAGGCCCTCTCCCTCCGGGGGATCCCCCCAGGCGGCCGCGGCGGCCAGGGCCCCGGGCGAGAAGATGCCCGGCCTGGGGGGGCAGGAGGCAGGCGACGGGGGCCCCCGGAGAGGCTCGTCCATGTACCCCAAGGCCCCGTGCCTTCGGCCCAGCACCCTGATCCTCTTTGAAACCACCAAAGCCGGCCCTGCCCTGGGGAAGGGGCTCAGGGAGGGGGCCGGCGTGTCTCAGGACTCCCCCTCGGGCCCGAGGCCTGAAGTGGCCGCCAAGCCCGCCCTGCCTGCCCGGAGGCCCGGGGGGACCCAGGACAGCAGGCCGGCCGCCCCCGGAGAGGACGCAGGCCCCGGTGAGCCCCCGTCCAAGGCCAGCGGCGGGGAGGGCGCGGGCAGCCCCGCCGCGCTGGAGCCCCGGCCTCTCCCCAAGAGAAGGCCCGTGTCAGCTATTTTCACCGACGCCATCCACCCTCAGCGGCTGGGCCCCGGCGGGGCGGCCGCGGGGGGGAAAGCGCCCCCCGCCCCGCCCGAGAAGACGTGGGTGAAGAGGCCCCGACCCGTGTCCATGGACCTCACGGCCGAGAGCAGAGAGGCCCTGCTGAGGAAGGCCGCGGGCGAGGCCGCCGCAGGCCCCCCCGGCCAGCGCCGGGGGCCCGAGAGGCCCCCCCCGAGGTCCCCCGTGGACGGGGAGAGCCTGGTCAAAGCAGAGGCGCCCCCCGCTGACGCAGACTCCGACTTCCTGGAGGTGACCCAGAAGATCCACGCACGGAGGGAGAAGTGGCTCTCCAAGCAGGCGGAGCTGGGCGGCCTCAGAACCGCGGGGGGCTCAGCCAGGGTCCCCCCCACCGACGGCCGGAAGCCCGAGGGAGAGAGAGCCAGGCTGGAGGCAGAGCCAGAGAAGGCTCCCGAGTCCCCTTCGCCCAGGCCGGGCGGCGGAGGCCGAGAAGCGGCGGAGGGCAGGAGCGCGGCGTCCGACGGGGAGGCCCGGGCCCCGGGGGAGTGGGTCTCCAGGGGCAGCGTCAAGAAGCGCCGCAGCCTGTTCGAGGAGGAGGGCGCCGCCTCGGCCTTGGCAGCGGGGTCTGAGCCCCCCCCACCGGCCGCCCCCGAGCCCCCCTCGGCTGCTCCGGAGCCCGAGAAAGCGGGGCTGAGCGTCCGGGATCGGATCCGAGGCTGGACCGCCGAGAGCTCCCAGGTCAAGCCGGAGGTCAGGAGGAGGGCGTTCCAGGCTCGGCCACAGTCGGTGGATTTGACCAAACTGTGAGTGGGAATGTCTCCTGGGGTTCACTCTGTTACCTCAAACCGCCCGCCCACCAGTCCTCCCTCCCCTCTCGGGATGAGGCACCTCCCCACCGCCTCTCTGGCTCCACCTGCAGCCTCACGAGGGCACTAGCTGCCATTTCTCAGATGAGCTGCCAGCAGGGGGACCAGGGGCCGGGTTTTCTTGTCTCTTCTTTGCACGCGGGAGACAGTGTGCCCATTTCACAGATCAGGGTGGGAAAGGTAGAGTGCCGTGAGGAAGTGGATGTATTCCAGCTCCGCCTGTCTCCATAGCTAAGCTTTCTTCTCCTAAAGTCTGCGGTCACCTCATATGTGGCCAAAACCCCCCACCCCACGGCAAAATAAAGCCAGATGGGTCAAGATAACTTGAACCTCGGTTTCTTCATCTAATGACACTAAGACCTTTCTATTTTTTAAAAAAATATATTTTATTGATTTTACACAGAGAGGAATTGAGAGGGATAGAGAGTTAGAAACGTCGATGAGAGAGAAACATCGACCAGCTGCCTCCTGCACACCCCCCACTGGGGATGTGCCCGCAACCAATGTACATGCCCTTGACCGGAATCGAACCCGGGACCCTTCAGTCCCCAGGCCGACGCTCTTCCACTGAGCCAAGCCAGCTTCGGCTTTTCTATTTTTTTAAAAAAAATATATATTTTATTGATTTTTTTACACAGAGGAAGGGAGAGAGAGAGTTGGAAACATTGATCAGCTGCCTCCTGCACACCCCCCACTGGGGATGTGTCCGCAACCAAGGTACATGCCCTTGATCAGAATCGAACCCTGGACCCTCCAGTCTGCAAGCTGATGCTCTATCCACTGAGCCAAACCAGTTTCGGCTTTTTTTTTCTTCTTTTTTTTCTTTTTTTTCTAAGACCGACTTAATCCTGGGAATCATTCTGCCCATGGGAAGCCTTCAGGGCGTTGTAGCTTTAAGTGATAGCACTAACCCTGTCAGTCGTCCTTTTCTAGGTTCGCCCAGCCTCTGATATCTCTTGTGCCTTTGTTTTCCCACAAATGGCTCTGGGTTACTACAGGGAGATGCCGCGGGGCGTGTCCACTAGCTCAGTAATGACATGCATGCCACTGACGTGCTCTGTCGGGATGGAGCCTCCAGGGGGCAGGACCTCTGGGCAGACTGCCCTCCCAGCCCTGGGAACTAGGGCAGCCAGCTGGGCCGGAATTAGACCGGTGCCCTCAGCATTCAGAATCATCGAGAAAAAGTACCAGTGCCTGGGTCCCACCTCCGGAGATTCTGATTCGGTTGGTCTAGGGCCTGGGTCGGCAAACTTATTACATCCGTCCACAGAGCCAAATAGCAACAGAACAACGATTGACATTTCTTTGGAGAGCCACATTTTTTAAACTTAAACTTCTTCCAACGCCACTTCTTCAACATAGACTCGCGCAGGCCGTGGCATTTTGTGGAAGAGCCACACTCAAGGGGCCAAAAAGCCACATGTGGCTCGAGAGCCGCAGTTTGCCGGGCGAGGGGCTCCTTGCTTGATTGTTTTTAAAGCTCTGGGTGATTCTCCTGTGTGGCCTGAGAACCCCTGAGTTCAGATAACAGAGAAAGGGCCACCGATGTCAGGGACCTCACACGCCTCCTCTCCCTGCAGTGCCTTGGATTATTCCCATTGGACAGATGGGTAAACGGAGGCTCCAAGTGTGGGTCAGGTTTCAGAGTTCCTTTCTTTCCTCTGTAGCCCACCCTTCCCCCCCCCACCCTAAACTAATCTGTAGGCATCCCACTCTAAGGAACTTTTCAGAGATGATAAAATTCTAGCTCAGAGCTCCCCTTTCTCCCTCTTCCCCTTCACAAGTGGGGAAACAGGCCCAGAGAGGGACAGTAACTTGGCCACCGTCACCCGGAGAGGCAAAGACAGGCCCGTGCCCCCACACATTCCCCCGGCCCAGTCCCGTGACCGGTGTGCAGTGGGGCCGCTGTTGTGCCTGAGGTTGCTAACAACCATTAATTATTCCTCCCTGCTGCATCCCAGGTCTTCCCTGAACGCCCTCAGGTAGCTATTAGGGCTCTGGGCAGCCTCTTCTCCGCCCTACAAAAGGCGATGGGGAGGTGTTAATTACCCCCATTTTATAGATGAAGAGACAGAGGCTCAGGCGAGGTCACAAGCCTGACCCAGGCTCCCACGCTGCTGGGAAGCTGGTAGAGCTGGCATTAGCACCCAGATCTCTCCCCCCCAGCCTGGGGCTCCTGGGACCTCTGGGGCTCCCGGTCCCCCCATGATGCTGTGTCTAAGGTAGGCCGTCCCTGCTGGGGGGCCCTTTTCTGTTGCTCTGGTGACCAGAAAGAGAAATTTCTTTTCTCAGAGCACATCGGGCGCTGTTGCTTTGATGACCTCCGATTCCACGCTGGGTCCCTGGGCGGGTTGTGGCGTGTGGGATGGAGGAGGGGCGAGTCGTGGCTGCTGGCCCAGCCAGGTAACCCGGATCTCTCTGTACCTGGATCTCTGTCCCAGGTTTTCGAGTTCAGCTTCAAGCAGCGATGTCAAGTATGAGAGGTGCCCGGAGCCCAGTGGCGAGCTTGCCAAGGAGCCGAGAGAAAAGGTGAGGAGTCACATGGGCGGTAGCTACACTCGCCGGCATGGGGACCCGGGAAGAATCGGGAGCCTCCTGCAAACAGTGAGACAGCTGAATGCCGAGACCGTGCAAGTCCCATCCGGCGTGCTGGCTGCGAGCCCCCGTTCCCTCGCGTTCGATGCTGCTTACAGACGCGATCGCCAGGCCTGTGCTTTTTCTGGGCACGGAGGGAAAGGGACATGGCGAGAAGGCCTGCTTTGTTAAGGAGTGACTAAAGCTGAAGCCATGTCCATGGAAACCCCTTCCCTTTCCCTAATGATGGCCCCTGCTGCCTTCTACGCTCTTTCACCTAGCAGCCACAGGGGGCAAATTACCGGCACTTAAATCGCTCAAAAAGTATCTTTATTTAGTTCATTTGGGAAGAAGAAAAAAGAACTCATCAAAGAACGCCTAGGTGACACGGGGTTGTGGTTAATCCCTTCGGCAGAGTTGTAATTTTCTAAAACCGCTTTGTGGAGGGTTAACTGGCCGACAGTGCACGCACATGGAAAGCAGGCAGGTAAACAGTTCGACGTGTGTACGGCACACCTGGGAAGCTGCCATCACAATCAGGATAACCAGCACCCAGCACACCCAGGTCTCCTCCTCTCAGTCCCTCCCTCCTCCTCTTCTTCCTCCTCCTTCAAGCAACCACTGACCTGCTTTCTGTTGCAATAGATTCATGTGCATTTTCTAGATTGCTCTATAAATGGGACCAGTGCTCTTTATCTCTCCCGCCCCCCTCGGTTTTCCTTCTTTCATTCAGAATAGTTACGTTGAGATTCGTCACGCTGGAGTGTATATTAATAATTCATTCCTTTTCTTTGCTGAGTATTATTCCATTGTATCCTATTCATCCTTGGATGGACATTTGGGCTGTTTCCAGTTTGGGGCCCATTGCAAATAAAATGCCTTGTAGTCACATCAAAATATCCTAGTGGCAATAAGAGCGAGAACAACAGAAGCCAGGTGAAGCAAGTTGGGTGAAATGTTATTGTCACTGAAATTAGGGCATGGGTTGAGGCGAACTTATTATCTCTGTAATTTTGTATATGTTTGAAAACTTTTTAAAAAAATTAACTTTAGGGAGAATAGAAAGTGGGGGCGGGAGAGAGAGAGAGAGAGAGAGAAACATCGATTTGTTGTTCCATTTGTGCATTCATTGGTTTGAGTGTTGTATGTGCCCTGACCGCCTGCTTTTAATCCTTTGGGTTACATACCCAGGAGGAATGGAATTAATTGGTGGGTCCTATGGCTAATTCTCTTTAACTTGTTGAAGTAGACTTAGCTCTAACAGAAAAAAAAAAAAAAAAAGAGAGAGAGATTTAAAAATGACGAAGTAGTACGTTCATGTTATGAAAAGAAAATCAAACAGAACCAAAGAATGTCGGATTAAAAGATGATTTTTTCATCTTTAGTCCTTCCTCTTCCTCACAGTTGGATTTTTATCTTTACTCCACTGTCCCTCTACCTGCGTATGCACACCCAGGTGCGGTTTTGTTCTGTTTTTAAATGGTCTTAAGTCATGAAGATACGCTGTCCTGCAGCTGCTTTTCTCTCAGCGACGGGACGTTCTGTGTGTCTTGGATGCTATGACAGGGCCTGTGTGGTCCTCCACCGTTTGGAGGATCAACATGGTCTTAGCATAAAGTGACCAGACGTCCCGCTTTTGGCGGGACAGTCCCGATTTTAACAATTTGTCCCTCGTCCCGGGACAGATTGTTAAAAATCAGGACGTTAGGTCACCTTATCTCAGCCCCCGCCTTTCAGACGGGCGCTCACGTTGTCTGTGTCACTGCCTTTCACAGACAGTGCGGTCTGCACTTTCTTGCTCACGGAGCCTTGTGCTCATGAGCAACGAAGAAATCCTGAGAGGAAATGGGCCGGGTGAAAGGAAACGAGAATTTTAAAATCATGACAGGCGCTCTGAATTGTCCAGAACTCGGCACGACTTTCACGTTCTCACCCCACATTGGATGGTCTGTCTTTAAATTGCTACGGTTTATAATTTTAAGAGCCGCCATTTCAGCCTCTCCCTCTCCGTTTCAAATCCTTTAACTTAAGTTTCTTTTCTTTTCTTTCTTTTTTTTAGCAAAAGGAAGGGCCTGGCGTGGACGGAACACCTGCTCCCAGGAGCCCCTGGAAGCCTGGGCCGCCCCGGGAGAAGGCCAGGCCGGCCCCGCGGAAGGACAGCGCTAACCAGGTCCCCGGCAGCTGTCGCGGGGCAGGCTCGGCGGGGGCCCCGAGCTCCCCGGACAGCACCCCGGAAGACGAGGGGACCTTCCAGACCGTGAGGGCCACCGTGTTTGAGCATCACGTGGAGAGACACACGGTGGCCGACCAGTCGGGACGCTGTCTCTCGGCCACACCCCCCGGCGCCGTGACCCACGTCTCGGAGCCCCGGTCCAGGCCCGAGAGAGGCCTGTGGCTGGGGAAGGACCTCCCGGAAAAGACGATCCTCAGGAAAGAGAACTGGAGGTGGTCGGAGATCCCCGACCCCGAGAGAGCGGGACGGACCCCCCTCGTGAACGGGGACCCCAGACAGCATCACACGCCTCTCCGGGAGCGGTCCCCCGTGGGCGAGAGACGCAGCAGTCACCCCGTCCTGAAGGGCCCGGAGCACCCGCCCAGGTCGCAGAGGGTGGAGCCCAAGGTCGACGTGATGCACACCGTGGGGGAGCGAGCACACAGCGAGGCCGTCCCCGCGGCGCCCGAGGAGAAGGCCGTGGAGCTCCGGAGCGGCGGCGGCGGCGGCGGCAGGGCCCGGCCATCGCTGAAGGGGCGGCAGCCGCCCCCCGACGTCGCCCCTGCCGCCGACCCGGAGCGCAGGCCGCACCGCCCGGCCGGCTCCGTCCAAAGGGCCAGTCTGATCTGGGAAGCCCGAGGGACTCAGGAGGTCAGCGGGCCCACCCCTGGCCCCCGAGAGCCACAGGGCACGTCGGGGGGCGGCAGCCTGTCGCCCACGCGGAGAGGGGGGGCGGCCAGGAACTGGCACAGAGCCACCCTGGTGGTCAGCGATGACAGCGGCTCGGCAGCCAGCCCCGAGGCCGCCGCCAGCAGCCAGGCCCAGCGCCAGGGGCCCGAAGGGGCCAGGAACAAGCCCGGAGTCTGTGCCTCGGGGGGAGAAAGGGCGGCCCCCCGCGGCTGCCCCCCTCCCGACGCCCCCTCCAGAGCCACGGACGAGCCCTCCGTCCTCCTCCGGGCGCGGCCACCCCCGCAGGGGCTCCTGCAGAAAGGGGCTCCGGCCCCCGAGCCTGAAGTCCGGATGCGGAGGGGCAACCCCGGGGACCAGAGGTTCGAGAAGTGGAGGCGGCGGACGTTGCCCCACGACGTGAAGTTTGAGGAGTTCAGCTTCCCGCCTGCGGAGGGGGAGCAGCCACGCCCCGACCATCCGAGCCCCAGCGCAGGCGGGAGGAGGCCTCAGCCACCCCTCAGCAGGGTGGAGGCCCCGGAGGGGGACCCGGCTCTCCCGGCCGTGAGGCCAGGGCCGTCCGGGGAGCCCAGGGCCACCTTTTTCGCAGTGACCTACCAGATTCCCGATGCTCAGAAAGCAAAGGGTGTTGTTAAGCCCGGGCCCGGAACCCTGACGGACCATTCTAGAAAAACAGCTCCGCCTCCCTCGCCTCATCCTTTAACGCCCACCTTGGTCTCCCCCAAGCCCGAGGAGCCGCTGGAGACCGCGGGCAGTAAGAGCCGGGCGCAGGCCAGAGAGCCTGACGGCGCCAGCCTTTCCAACGCTCTGAAGCCAGCCGATGTCTGGTCGCCTCCCGGGGACAGGATTCTGGATCTTTCCACCGAAAGGATCTTCGACGCAGACGCCGCCGGATGGGTCCATCGGCGACCGGAAGGCCGCGCTGGGTTTCAGAACGACTGGAGGGAAGGTGGGGGCAAGACGCCCCCCGGCGGCGCTCCCCAAACCATCCCTGCTTTCCCGAAAGCCGGGGACCCCCCCGTGAGGAGGAGGAGGGAGAGGGTGAGCGAGACGTCCCCGGACAGAGTCACCCGTGGCTACAGGTCCAGCGTCCTCGACATCGACGCCCTGATGGCCGAGTACAAGAAGCCGGAGGCCCCGGAGCGGACGGAGGGGCCGCCCGCAGAGCCCGGCTGGGCCCAGGAGCGGCCAGGCCAGCGAGGCGGGGCGGACCGGAGGCGGCGGAGCCTCAAGGAGGGGCCCGAAGATGAGGGTCCCCGGAGACAAGCCAGCTTTGCTGAAACAAACCACGGTCCTAGTCCAGCCTCCAGCAAGCAGCTTGCCGAGACCCCGGGGGCCGCCACGAGCCCCAAACTCGGCTCTCCTCTGTGGGCTCTGCCGCCCGGGGCTCCCGAGAAACAGCCAGCGGCCTCCCCGGGCCCCGGGGGTCCCGGGAAGAGGATCTCGGGAACCGCAGAGGACGAAGCCAAGGCCTTTGCTAGTAAACATCACGGCGCGAAGCGTCAGGATCACCCAGCCGCCCGGGAGGACCCCAGCGGCCAAGCCAGGGTGTTGCCCAGATCCTCCCCAGCGGACAAGGAGAGAGGGGCCCCGAGGAAATCCACCGGGTGGGGAGAGGAGGGCCGTGTGGCCCCGGGGGGTGACCCCCCGCCGTACGGCAGGTCACCGATGGACGTCAAAAGGGCCTCTTCGGAGAAGGGTGCCCCTGCCAAAGTCCGAGAGGGCCTGTCCATCCTGCAGGAAGCCAGAGAGAGGCGGCGAGAGCAGCCCGGAGGGAGGCCCAGCCTCCCCGGGGAGAGCTCGGAGGCCAAGGAGACCAAGACGGGGCCCTGTCGGCGGGACTCGGGGGCCCGAGACAGCCCGAAGGTGAGTCTGAAGGCCGTTTCTGGGTTGTGAGGCGTTGGTTGGCTGAACGTGAAGGCCAGGGGCGTCAAACTGAGAACCTACGTGGGCCAGGTGGGTAAGGGAATGGGAGTCAGGCTGGGGCGAGACTCTAGGGAGGGGCGGGGATTGTGGCTCGTGGAAAGCTCAGGCCGTGGCTCAAGGGCCAATTGCCGCTCATTTCCTGCTGCTTCTTGACCAGTGAGAATGAATGGTGGTCCTGAGACGGCAGATCCGGTTTATCAAGAGAACCTGAAGAAAAATAAGCCAGGTGTTTTTTTTTGTTTTGTTTTGTTTTTGTTTTTTTTTAATAAATATATTTTATTGATTTTCCACAGAGAGGGAGAGGGATAGAAAGCTAGAAACGTCAATGAGAGAGAAACATCCACCAGCTGCCTCCTGCACACCCCCCTACCGGGGATGTGCCCGCAACCAACGTACATGCCCTTGACCGGCATCGAACCTGGGACCTTTCAGTCCACAGACCGACGCTCTGTCCACTGAGCCAAACCGGTTTCGGCAATCCAGGTTTTTATACGTTATTTCCCCATGAAATGAGGACAGCTTACTAAAAAATTCTGTTCATCCCAAATGAATAAAAGGATAAGTGTCGGCTGGCTGGCTCCACTTAGCCCTGAGTTTGAAACCTCTGGCCTGGAATGATAATGTAGGCGTCCTTTATGGAGCACCTGCTGTAGTCCAGGGTGCTGTGTCAAGTTCAGTATTGTACCCCAGAGGTCAGCATTCTGCTTGTCACTTTGTGAACATTCGAGAAGTACTTGTTGGATGTGTGAATGAGCCATCTGACGTGAGCCTCTTTTGTGGTTTGGGTTTGCACAGAAGCAGGTTCTTGCGAGCAGTGTTTTCAGAGGTGATCCTCAGAGGAGCCGGATGAGGAGTGGAGGGGGAGGCAGGGAAGGGAAGGCAGGTGATGAAGGTACCACTCTGGGCCTCTAACCCCCGTTCTCACTGGAGGCCTCTGAGGAGCAGCATCGACCACGTCTGAGTCGTCCTGTCCAAGGGCCCAGGAACCTGGAGCCTGTATTTTCCCGTTTGCGCCTGTCTTTGCCTGAGGCTGTTTCCGGAGCTTTTAACGTTCAGACTCTTCCATCCTGCCTGGCACCATGCTCCGTAATGGAAGGAAAAACCCTCACACAATTCGGCTGGTGTGGCTCAGTGGTTGGGGTGTCGGCCTATGAACCAGGAGGTCACGGTTCAATTCCCAGTCAGGGCACATGCCCAGGTTGCAGGCTCCATCCCCAGTGGGGGGAAGTGGAGGAGGCAGCCAGCCGATGATGTTCTTCTCTCCTCATGTTTCTCTCTCTCTATCCCTCTCCCTCTCTCTCTCTCTCAAAATCAACAAAAACATATTTTTTTTTTAAAGAGAGAGAGAGGTCCAACCTGGAAAGGGATGTTGTGGAAATGCAACACCAGCATTACACCAATGGAGATCATGAGATGAACATTCATCCAAAGTTAGGGGTGGAGTTTGGCTCTGAACCCACATCTCTACCCTGCCACTTACCAGCTGTGTGCAAAGCAGGAACTTGGCCTCCTCGAGCCTCAGTTTCCCCACCAGAGTGAACAGGGATCCCTGCCTCTAAGTCCTGTTCCTGAACGGAGACAAAGCACCCAGCATGCGCTGGGCACCCACTGGGCACGAGCTCAGGGCTGCCCCTGGCTTCTGCACGCGTTTCTCGAGAGGGTTTCCACCCGTCCTCACCCCCGCGGGGATATGGAGGGAGGAGGCCGGGGAAATGCGACACTGAAGCCGTGGGCAGTGCCTTTTCGGGGCCCAGCAGCGCCGTTGTCAGGGGATCCGTTTCCTCACCAAGGACCGGGAGGCCTTGGACCAGCTCCCGTCGCTCTCCTCTCCTGCCTGGAGATACCTCGTTCTTCATCTTTAAAAAGCGAAAATCCATGCAAGCGACCCAGACGTGCACAACGTTGGTTGCTGAAAATTCAGACACTTACCAAAGTGCCTAAACTAGTGTTCCCCTGGGAACCCTATCCCCTTTTCCGTCCCCCAGATGGCGGCCAATGGGGCAGTTTTTTGAGATCCCGTGGGACTCTCCTGCACTATAGATTGCCAGTCGTATATGTTTACTTATAATTGTTGTGTTTTCCTTATTGCAGAAGGCATGCGTGTGTAAAACTTAAACTACTAGCCAAAACCGGTTTGGATATCAGTGGATAGAGCGTCGGCCTGCGGACTGCAAGGTCCCGGGTTCGATTCCGGTCCAGGGCATGTACCTTGGTTGCAGGCCCAACCCCAGTAGCGGGTGTGCAAGAGGCAGCTGATCGATGACTCTCTCTCATCGATGTTTCTGACTCTCTGTCCCTCTCTCTTCCTCTCTGTAAAAAAATCAATAAAATATATTTAAAAAAAATAAAATAAAACTTAAAATATGATAGAAACAGACGTTTTAGAAAGAAAATCCCCCTTGAAAGGTTGAGTCTGGTGCAGGAACTGGGCATGCCCCGCCAGGCCCATGCCCTCCTCACGCTTCTCAGTCTTGCACAGTTTGTCTCCAGGGCCCATTGGACAGAGTTTGAGACTTTTTTGTCGAGACAACCAGGGGAGACTGTGTTCCTGGCATCTAGTGGCTGGAGACCAGGGGTGCTGCCCCTCCACATGCCCAGGACGCTCCCCTGCAGACAGTCATCAGCCTCACAGGGACGAACGCGGCTCCCGGGCCGAGGAACCCTGGGCTAGACACAGGCAGAGGTAACGTGGAGGACATACTGTCCATGAAACACGCCAGCGTTCGATCTTCAGAACATCTTACAGCTTGCTTTTTATTTTTTTATTTTTTTTTATTTTTTAACTGAACAGTAAAAAACAGTTCTATTACCTTGTTATTTTGCCTGGCTGCAAAGTATCTCATAATGGGATTGAGCCCCATTTTTTTTTTTTTTTTAATCCGAATTCTTGTGGATGGACTTCTGGATTGGTTCCAGTTCGGGGGTTAGAAGTAGGATGTCCTTGAGCATTCGGAGGCACGCCTTTGCTTCCTCAGAAGAGGACTTTTTGATTTTACAGCCAGTTCTGCTCATGTCCTGTGCATGAGTGTGATTGTAATTAAAGGGGTCCCTCCCTCTTCCGCTCCCTCCCTCCTTCCCTTCCTTTCTCTCTCTCTCTTTTTTATTTTTTCACTCAGAACACATTTATCGAAACTCTGTCCCACGCCCAGTTATTGTATTTCACGTAATTAAATTACTTATTTTTGTTTCAGAAGACAGAATATTTTCTCGTGGCTCTGTAAACATTTAAAGGTATGGAGTGAAAACATTCCCCCATACCTCTTGATCCCCATCTTCCCATTCCTCCCCACCCAGTAATTACTTCCATTCTTGTTTGTACAAATTCCTTTAGAGTTTCTCTCTGAAAATACAAGCGAGTAGGAATGCATATTCTTGGTTTTGCCTTTTTCTTTTTTCCCCCCACAAAACTTCGGTTGTCTGTGGGAGGAACCCCCGGAATCGTAAAAAGCAGCAACGACGGGGCGTCACCCAGACTGGTTCCATTGGGATCTCCGGGGTGGGGTCCGCCTTGGTTAGCTGTGAAAGCTCCCAGGGGCAGCCAAAACCGGTCCGGCTCAGTGGATAGAGCGTCCCAGGTTCCATTCCCTTCAAGGGCATGTACCTTGGTTGTGGGCACATCCCCAGTGGGGGGTGTGCAGGAGGCAGCTGATCTGATGACTCTCTCTCATCGATGTTTCTCTCTCTTCCTCTCTGTAAAAATCAATCAAATATATTTTTAAAAAGAAAGAAATCAATAAATACATATATATATATATATATTTTTTTTTTTTAAAGAAGCTCGCAGGGGCTTCTCGCATTGAGGGTTTCTGCTGATCCACAGATCGGCCATTTGCCTTTTCTCGTAAACGCATTTTGGAGAGCTTTGGGATTCAGCCCTCAGAGCGAGGGCTCCTTTTTCCCGGCTGCTGCACGGATGGGAGCATTGAGGCCCAGAGAGGTCTGGCTAGGTGGCCAGAGCCACAGCTAGCGTGTGTACGTGCCCCGTGCGTGCCTACGTCATTGTGCGTGCCTGCGTCCTGCACATGCACAGGTCCAGCGGGTCCTCGAATGACCCTGGTCTCGTTCAGCGCGGAGGAGAGAGAAATGCCCCCTGGCCGGGGCCGCTGCCCGTTGTGGAGCTGGCACGCTCTCCCCATGTCCTCGCGGGGTCCCCCGGGTACCCCGGTTCCTCGCACCCCGCGGAGGGGCGCGCTGGGGGGCTCGGTGTGTCTGCACCGGCCCCGCTGGGTGAGTGCAGCTGGGAGCGGCCTGGGAGGGACAGGCGTCCTGTCCGGGGTGGCTGCCCGCCTCGGCCCCGAGCTGCCCAGAGGGGCTCTGGCCCCCCACGAACTGGAACGATGGGTTGGAAAATCATCGTCTTGTGTGTGTGTGTTGTTTGTTTTCATCTTTACCTGAGGAATGAGGATATTTTTCCCATTGAATTTTAGGAAGAGTGGGAGGGAGGCGGGGGCGGGGAGAGAAACTGATCGGTTGCCTCCTGCACGCGCGCCCCCAGCGCTGCGGAGCCAGGGATTGGATTTGCTCTCCAGGTGGGGGTGTCCTCGGTGGGGAATGGAACCTGCCATCCTCTGTGCACAGGCCCGGCCTAACCCTGGGCTGTGAAAGCTCCCAGGGACAGCCAAAACCGGTTTGGCTCAGTGGGTAGAGCGTCGGCCTGCAGACTGAAAGGTCCCCTGTTTGATTCCGGTCAAGGGCATGTGCCTTGGTTGCGGGCACATCCCCAGGAGGAGGTGTGCAGGAGGCAGCTGGTCGATGTTTCTCTCTCATCGATGTTTCTAACTCTCTATCCCTCTTCCTTCCTCTCTGTACAAAATCAATAAAATATAAATTAAAAAAAGAAAGATAGGATTCAGACTAGTGTACCTTGGACCATTTATATACCTAGCTATAGACTGTCTCTGTGTCTCTGCACATGTGTGCCTGTGTGTTTGATGTGCGGAGGATGTTTAAAATGAGGGCACCCAGAGTTACCAGGGGTAGTAATAGGGCTGGATGGCATTTATGGGCTCCCCCTTGACAGGCATGTCAGGGAGGATAGTGTGAGACAAGTCAGGTGCCCAGGACCTGTACACGTCCGCCCCCTGGTGGCAGCACTCCATCATACACTTTCTGTGTGCAGATCCCAGCTTGGTTCTGTGAACCCAGAAGCTGAATACTGTTATTATTGGCCTTTTTCCACATGGCCAGGGATCAGAGAGGTCAAGGCACTCACCTGAGCGCACACAGTTATTAAATGGCCGAGGCCCAGGCTGCATCCAGACTTGCTGATCCTGCATATTACCTCCTATCATTGAAGCTGTGGGGTCGCAGTGTGTGTGTATGGGGTTTGGGGGGGGGGGGAGGAAGAACAGAGGGGAGGAGTGTTGCAGCTTTAATTTTATCCTCCCCCCCTCCCCTCTTAGGTACAGAATGGACTCCCGTGGTGTGACCTATTCTTCTTGCTTATGGCAAAGCCCCAGTAAAGTCCTTTCCTTGTGTCCTGTCTCAGGTGACGCCACGAGACCTGGGGAGGGAGGATGCCCTCCAGGACAGCGATCCGCCTCTCCAGCAGGTGTCCCCCGTGGCCCTGGGCCCCCGGAGGAGCCACAGCTTCTGCAAGGACAGGAGGAGCGGGGCCTTCGTGGTGAGTGACGCCGGCGTGGCCGGAGCGGGTCTGCAGGCGGGGCCGGTCCTGGGACACCTCGGGGCCTGTGGCTGTGCGGAGAGTCCGGGCTGGCCCGGGGGCCTGGGGGGTCAAGGCCAGGCAGGCGCCTGCCTGGGAAGGTGGTGGTGTCCTACCCGCCGGGCTGCGGTCCCCGACGTGGAGGAGGTTTGGAGGCTCTGCCGAGAAGGCCTTCCGCCCTCCCAGGTTTCCGGCCCAATGGGGAGCGGTGACCCCAGCCACGGGCATGGACCCATTAAGAGAGCGCGTGCTGGGGTCTGAAAGTCCCGGGTTTGAATCCCACCACCCTCTCCGCTTAGTCTGTTTGAGCTGTTTGCTTCGAGTCTCTGTATTTTCGTTTCTTCGCTGGCACATGGGATCACGATTCTCGATTCTGTACTGTTAGGGGGACGGAGTAAGAATGTGCGTAGGGCCTGGCACCATGGTCGGCAAACTGCGGCTCTCGAGCCACATTTGGCTCTTTGGCTCCTTAAGTGTGGCTCTTCCACAAAATACCACGGCCTGGGCGAGTCTTATGTTGAAGAAGTGGCGTTAGAAGAAGTTTAAGTTTAAAAAAAATGTGGCTCTCCAAGGAAATGTCCATCGTTGCACTGTTGCTACTTGGCTCTGTGGACTGATGAGTTTGCCGACCACTGGCCTAGCACACAGCAGTCTCTGGTGGTGGTGTTGGCCCTCGTGGGAGGCGGCGTTAGGCTGGCGGAGCCAGATCGCCAGGGTTCAGATTCTAGCTCTGCACGCAAATGGGCCTCTGGCCTCAGTTTCCTCATCTGTAAAACGGGGATAATAATAGCATCTACTTCACAGGGCAGATGTGGGGGTCGGATAGGGTCACGGTCCCAAGTTCACAGCAAACACCTTAATAAGTGTTATTGTTGTTGTTATTATTACTACTGTGTTTGCGTCTCCTGGGCCAGCACCTCCTCTCCCTCAGCCTGTTTGCTCACCTGTGGAAGGAGGCTGGTCAGTCAGGACCCAGGGAAGCTCCGTCCTCCAGAGCCTGTGTCCCCTCGGATTTTCAGTGGTTTCCTTTCCTTTTCAGTTTTTGGACTTGAGTTCCATGACACTTGGAGATGCGCTGAGCACTGCGCTTGCTCATGAGGCCCCTCCTGGGTCCCAGGCCCGTGCGGGGGCCTCTAAGACAGCTGTTTCTTCAGCGAGGCGGCTCTGGTTCTGCTCACAGGTCCTTTGTGCTCGCACAGTTTTGTGCCTGTCAGCAATGCCTGTGCCCGGGCCCGTGTCTCTGAGGTATGGGGTTCCCCAGCATGTAAATGCTAGGCCTGTTCCTCCCAGCTTCATGGCCGTGGGCTAAAAACGTCACTCCCCCCCGACCTCGGCTTCCTCCTCTGTGAAATGGGGTGAAGAAGGCTTCTGAACCCCCATTTGCAGGTGTTTTCCCTCGAGATCCTGTCAGGAGCTCAGGCAAAAGCCGGGCTGGGCAGGGGCGGGGCTTTGGTGGTAAAGGGGGAGGGCGGAGGGAAGCACTGTTGCATTCCAGCTCGTCCCTGCCCAGAGGGGTTGGACCACCTGGTATTGCAAGGAAAACTGAGGATCTTGATCTTAATGTGAAATCTCACCAGTTTTACACGTTGGATCAAAATATATATTTATTTATTTATGTATATATTTAATTTAGCCATACCCAGCTGCCTTCACATGGGCTATTGGCAGTCTTGGGTCATACACGTTATCTCTCCGAATCCTCGCCACAGTTTATGGGGAAACTGAGGCTTGAGGAAGTGACATGACTTGGCCTAGGCTCATACAGTAAATAGGCAGGTGCCACAGGCAGGACTCCAGGTTACATGACATCAGAAATGACCTGAGCATCCTCCAGGGGGCATTCTATCTGCAGTCTCCCCCCCCCTCCCCCATCCTATCTTCCAGATTAAGGAAGGCACCAGTTTCCTTGTGCGATGTTCAAGAGTGGCCACCAGGGGGCAGGACGGAGGCAATCTATTAATATTTCAACCTTACATTTTATTACTTGTTTTTAACCCCTTCTGCATTAGGGCCTTCTCTCTAAACTGAAAAGGCCATTTTTCATGACCATTTAGGTTATTTTTAATGCATGCCGGATGTAGGCACACGTGTCACTCAGCTCTGTTACCTGTCACACTTCTTGTCAGTTTCCACGTACAAGCCAGACATCAGAGCTGCTGGGCTGAGGTGGACAGTTCTGCAGCCTCACTGCCCTGGCCCCCTCCCCATTTGTCTTCACTGATGGCTTCTCCTCCTCCCCTTTTTCCTCTTCTTCTTCCCCCTACCCCTCCTCTTCCTCCTCTTTCTCTTCCTCCCCCCTCCTCCTCCCCCTTTCCTCCTCCTTCTTTTCCTTTTTCTTCTCCTCCCCTTCCAAAGCTTGTAAAGATATAATATACAGATTATAAAACTCACTCATTTTAAGTGTACTTTTAAAAATATATATATATATATATTTATTGGTTTTTTTACAGAGAGGAAGGGAGAAGGATAGAGAGTTAGAAACATCCATCAGCTGCCCGCTGCACATCCCCGACTGGGTACATGCCCTTGACTGGAATCGAACCCAGGACCTTTCAATCCACAGGCCGACGCTCTATCCACTGAGCCAAACTGGTTTCGGCTAAGTGTAACACGTTAATACTTTATGGTAAATTTACAACGTTGCACAGCCACCACCCCTATCTAATTCCAGGAACTTTTCATCTCCCCAGGGAGAGACCCCGTCTCCATCAGCAGTCACTCCCTGCTCCCCTATCCCCTGACCTACCCCGTAGACCTCTGACCTACCCTGTCTCCACCGGCTTGCCCAGTCTGGGAGTGCCCTGTCCCTGGAATTGCATGGCATGTGTTCTTCACGCCTGACATCTTTCCCCAAGGACATGTTTCTGGTGCAGCTGCCTCGTAGCACGTCCTCCGTCGGTCCTCCGTGCCGGACCGGCTCCTTCTCGTCTTTGTCGCTTTCCTGCCCGGCCTCCCCTGTGTGTCCTTCTGCGTGGTCCAGAGGAGTGCAGGCTGGGTGAGAGGGAGTGAAAAGTGCTTCTCCCCCCCCACCCAGTTGTGTGTTTGAAGTGGTTTCACACATCCTGCGGGTGATAACCCCTGAAAGGTTAATGCAGGTGGTGCAAGGCCAGGTGAATAGCCAGCCATCCCAGACAGCGACCAGAGGAAACAGACTTATTTAAGGAAAAGGGGTGGAGGAGGAGCGCACATGGGGTCCTTTTTCCAAAGCGTATTGATCTTTCTTGCAGGTGGAAATCTTAGGGGAGGTCTCAGGGGGAGGGTCTTGGTAGAATTAATTTATCAGCTTTCCAGGTGCGACGCCCAGGGCCCTGTCTCCACTAACTGGTCGGTGGGAGCCGGGGCAGGGGGGTCATTACCACGGCAACCGCGCGCGGGGGGGGGGGGGGGGGGCATTCGTCTGGTTCTGCTACTTTTCTGGGCCTGGAGCTGAAATACAACCAAGGCCTAGATGTTATCTTTCGGGAGGAAAAGTCAGGGGCTCTAAACCGCCCCACTCTGACCTGCTAGGGGAGGAGAGGTTACCCTGGGGCCGAGGTTCTTGTTTTCCCAGGTCTGTTCCTGGTCCCTTGTCCTTGCTCTGGGGGGTTCTGACACCCTGTGCAGTGGCTCTGCCCTGGCGGGATGAGCCCAGAGGTACCTGTTTGGGGTCGGTAATCCCTGGCCCCGATGGGCTGACCTTGTTACCCTGCCAGGCGGCATGGCCGAACTGACAGGACAGCAGGAAGTCGTGGCTGAGACACTTGGAGTGCGTACTGAGCTCTGGGCCCTGAGCACGTAACCACGTATGACCTCATTTCCCCTCCCAGTGACCCTGTGGAGCAGGCAGGCAGGCACTGTCGTCACTCCTAGTTTTCTTGAGGGAACTGGGGCACAGAGAGGTTAACAACCAGCCCAACATCGCACAGCGAGCTAGTGCTGGGGTAAGATTTGAAGGCAGGCCGTCTGCCCTCAGCGTGCACACCCTCACCAGTGCCCTGGCTGCCTCTGGGAGACATGCCGTCCGCTCCCGAGGTCTGTAAATTCAGATGCCTGTGCCCTGGCTGGTGTGGCTGCATTGGTTGGGCATCGTCGTCCCGTGCATTGAAAGGTCGCTGGTTCGATTCCTGGTCAGGGCACATGCCTGGGTTGCATTCTTGATCCCGGGTAGGTGGTGTGCAGGAGACAGCCAATGGATGTTTCCTTCTCACATCGATTTCTCTCCTTCCCTCTCTCTCTCTTTCCCTCTCTCTCCCCCTCTTCTCCTTTCCTCTCTCTCTTAAAATCAATTTTAAAGCCTTCAGATGCCTGGGAGGGCCAGCATGGGGTCTGGGCCAGGGCTGTGGGGAGTGGGGGGAATGAGGTGGATCCAAACCCCAGACAGTAGGTGCAGTGTCTGCCTGTCTGTTCGCACACAGGAGTGTAGACCCACGGGGAGGCCAACCTGCCATCTTTATAGAGAAGCCAGGGGGCTGCATTGCCACATGGAATTCTGCTAATGCCTAAACGTTGGCAACTAATTAAAAAAATCAAAAAGTGCACCTGCCTTCCCTGTCCTATTCACCTCCCCCTCCCTTCCCCAAACTAACACCCAAGCAAAATCACTCCCGGGAGGGGGTGCCAGCTTCCTATCTGTTTGGTGTATGTATGTGTTTTGTTTGTTTTGTTTTGTGAATGCTGATGTCAAATTTTAACACCTCCCATCTTTTTTGTGGATGGGAGTTTCTGCTAAAAGAGGAGCACGTTGAGTAGGTTTATAGGGTGGTTTGGACAGTCTGTCTTTTTTGGAATGAATGAATGAATGAAGGATGCTAATAAGAATTGTTCCAGCTCCTGCTGCGGGCAGGTGTTGCGTTGGGATGAGGGCAGCCAGGCTGATGGGGTGGGCCCTGGGGGAGCTGACCTGTGAGGAGAGGTTGAAGGAGGAATTACACAGAGGAAGAATGTTCCTGAAAGAGGTGCTCTGAGACCCTGAGGGGTGCGGT